CCAAATGGGAGCTCCTGAGAACCCCCCCCACATTCCCATCTGTACCCCTTGCATCAAATGGGAGCTGCCCAGGTAAGTGCCCCACACCCAAACCTCCTGCCCCAACCCTGAGCCCCCTCCCTCATTTTAGCTCCTGGCCCGACCCTTCACCCCCAGCCCTGTGCTCAGTGCACTGCCACCCTCAGCTCAGTGCAGAGAGAGGAAGAGAATGGCCAGAACCAGGGAGAAGGTAGGTACCCACTGTATGTGGGGAGGGCCAGGACCCCAGACTGGCAGCGGGCTGAGTGGATCCGGCAGCCAGGATCCCGGCTGGCAGGAGCTGGCGGATGGAACCCCTGAGTGGCAGTGAGCTGAGCCGCTCAGTCCACTGCCGGTCTGGGGTCCTGGCCGCCGGCCCCACACAGCCCGCTGCTGGTCTGGGGTTCTGACTGCCGGATCCTTGCCAGCCGGGGTCCTGGCCGCAGGCCTCGCTCAGCCCGCAGCAGGCCTAGGTGAACAGAACCCCAGACCAGCAGCGGGCGGAGCGGGCTGCTGGCGTAAGATCAACATTTTAATTTCATTTTAAATGAAGCTTCTTAAACATTTTGAAAACCTTGTTTATTTTACAATACAACACTAGTTTAGTTATATTATATATAGACTTATAGAGAGAGACCTTCTAAAAAACATTAAAATGTATTACTGGCCCGCGAAACCTTAAATTAAGGTGAATAAATAAAGACTCGGCACACCGCTTCTGAAAGGTTGCCGACCCCTGCAGTTTCCTGGCAGTCCATTGTTACAAGGCTGACAAAGTGCTACCCCTTGCTAGAAAGATCCATACCCTAGGAAATCATGGATTTTTTGGGGGGCGAGGGGGGAAATGGGAGGTGCAAAAAGTAGTACTAGTTTCATCTGCTCTGGAAAGCAGTGACCAGATCACAGTAGAGGGGTACATTTCAACCACATTTTTACATCGCTATTGAGACAGTTTCTATTTTAATGCATAGGGGGAAAAAAGTCAGGATGCTATCATCTTTGCACCATATTCCTTTTATTCAGAGAAATTACTTAAGTAGAACAGAGAAATTCCAGTTTTTTCACTTGATAAATATGCTGCTTTCCAAGTAAAATTCTGTACAGCTTGTATAAATACAAATAAATTATGTTTTCAGTGATCATGACAAAACAGCGTTTGGTGATGAACACCTTCTCACAGCAGAGAATTTCCTGAATGTAATAAACTTGCTTTAAATGCTACCAAACTTATTTTCAGCTACTGAAATATAAAAATAAAGACATTTCATTTAGGCATGGAATCAGAAGGAATTTGCTCACAAGTATAACCATTTTACTGCTTACTTATCAGAAAGTGCCCATAAGGAAACAAAGGTAATTTATTTTGGCTCTCGCTACAAGCTTAACAAATTTGTGTGGATTCTGAACACATGAATCTTACACACATCCATGCACTTCACCATGGGATGCCACACTGAGGACACACTGAACACAAGTGTAGCGGGGCGGCCTGGCTTCCAGGCGCCCCAGGAAGCGATGAGCCAGAACAGCCGCCAGAGTGGGCGGAGCCACCGCGACCTGTCCCCGCCCCCCGGAAGTCAAGGGGTGGGACAGGAAGTATAAAGGCCAGGCCCCAGCGCTCAGTAGCTGGCCGGCAGCGGGAGAGGACAGACGCTGGTGCCCGAGCTCCCGCAGACCTGAGCCTGCCGAGAGCCCGGTACCCCGAGGAGGACTGGCCGAGCCTGCCGAGAGCCCGGTACCCTGAGGAGGACTGGCCGAGCCTGCCGAGAGCCCGGTACCCCGAGGAGCGGCCTGAGCTTCCCCCCGCCGAGGGCCCAGACGGGAGGGACAAACCTACCTGGTTGCTCGGGGCCC